CCTATTAATGAGAAAAATATCTTTTTTTTCCCCCTCTCTATTAACAGGTAATTTCACAATCTCTCCCCCAATGTGGAAAGGGCAATGTTTGCCCAGTTTCCACACATATCCGCCTTACATATTTAATAGGCTTTTTTTTTTCCTACTCCTAACACACAGGATCTTCATAAATTTTCTTGTTAGCATAAATCCTTGCAGTCTGTTATTTCTGGGGGGAGAGGAAGAGAGACGTTCACTTTCTCCATTCAGTGGGTTTTAAAATATGCTTCTTTAAGTTCATCCTAAATATTGCTGGAAGCAGAAAAAAACTTCCAGCTCTAACTTTGGAGTCGTGGCATTGCTTCAGCAGGGCTGAGTCATCAATTGAGATGGACAGGCCTGCTCCCACCTTTCTTCTCCCTTCAGGGGTACAGGGACCTTGCTCCCCAGATCCAACACCCTCAGTCCCACCATTCCCCTGCAAGCAAATTCGCCACCTTCCCAGACCTTGAAAATAATCCAAAATAATTTAAACAAGCTCCAGCCCATTCAGTGTTTCTGATTCTCCTCTCTCTGTTGATTAACAATTATCCTCCACAAAATTTGGAGGGGGTAACACAGAATATATCACTGAGCAAAGCTCATTTCTATGTGCAACCTGTCATCTTCTAGACTTCAGCAGAGCAGCTCAGAGCAGGCTCACACGTGCACTTCCACTTTCATCAAGTATGGCTCCCCACAGCTCCGCAGCGCGGAGAGGAATTAATCACTCCTCCAGCGAACACCGATTCACATTTTTTTCTTTCGGATGCACATTCCCAACTACAAATGGGTTCACCAGAGCTGAAACTCTTGAAGAGCTTTAAGTACACTGGAGGCAAATTTTCAGAGTCTAAAAAAAACCCCAAACCCAGTATTTTTTGAAAAATCTAAAGCAGCACCTTCCCTGGCCTCCTGTAAAGCCTCTTGCTTCTGGTGCAAACCCCACTGCTGTCCCCACTTCCCTCCTGCCTTTCTCCCATTCCTAGCTCCCCTTTCTTTCCTGGCAGCACTCATTTCTCTTCTCTCTTCTCGTTTGCAACACGGAGCACCAAACTGCCCTCATTTCTCCATTTCTCCTATTTGAATCCACCCAGCGCTGAGCATCCTCGAACGCCAAGCAGTGGCAGAAGGACAGGGTGCAGGACGAGGTCCTCCAGCGCGCTGCAGAACTAAAGGGAGGCGGGTTGGACATGGACACTTGTGCTCTGCAAGGAGCCCTTTCCCTCCAGAAAACCCTGCCACACACAGGGCTCGAGCCTCGCGGGCAACATCACTTCACAAAGGCATTTCCATATGAACAATGAAACTTTCCACACAAACACTGGTATGACTCCCGATTAAGTGAGGAGTAACGAGCAGGCATGTAGGGACACATGAGAAAGGCTCTAGTGATGAGTGGCTCATTTTGAGGGAAAATAGCTATCATAAGAGCTTGGCACTGTCTGCTGCAGGCATAGCCTTCATTAAGTAACTTCCATGGAGACACTCAGCCTGTGCAGGACCTCTGCACAGTGGCTGGGGACCAGTGAGCTGCATCCATCACTATCTGTCTGCTCCTACAACTAATTACTCATCCTCATTTATTATGGCTCCAAAAAAACCTGATGCCCCAACGTTTTTGCACTCTCCAGAGGATGGACAAGCCACTCCAGACCTGCAGCAGCCATGAGCAATGGTAAAGCCAGCGTGGAGAACTATGGGACACTCCCAAGCAACACCACCACGCTTTGCCCTCCTACCTGTGCTCAACCCTTCCTCTCCCCTGCACGGTCCTTAGGACTTCCAGACTTCAATGCCACTGCTAACAAGACCTCTGGTCACTACTCATAGGAATTTATGGGGCTTTTTTAGCCAGAAAGACCAACTGAGGCAGCGTGCCGTGCAAGGTGAGCGCCGAGGAGTGGGGCTATTTCATGGTCTTTAAGAGAGTGTCCTTCCCTGGGAAGGGGAAGAGAAGATAGTCCTGTGGGATTTAGGGGAAGCCAGGGAATCCCAAAGGCCGTGGCCCACAGCATCTGCTCCAGCACGTCCCCACCATACTGAACCAGTTCCCGCAGCAGCAGCGCAGCCCTCTACAAGCCTGGCAAGTCTAACGGGTACAGCAGCTTCTTGGCATGTGGTAGAGGAGCCAAGTCTGAGGAGAAAAAAAAAATACTACAAATGTTCCACCAATTATGAGTCACGGGGCTGAGCTTTTGTTTCTGCCTTGCTGGGTTTTGCCCTTTCGCTGGTATTTCCCCAGCTCTGGCCGGGAGAGCTGCAGGGACGTCAACAGCAGCCAAGGCTCTGCCAGCACCCGGGGACGGGCACAACCCCAGCCAGGGGAACCACCTGGGCTCAAAATACAACTCCCAAACCAGCACGTTTTCTTCACCTCTATTCCCCAGGAGTACATGGCTGCAGAAATAAATCTAATGCTGAAAAGATGGAGACGCTCCTCATCCTCTCGGAAGCCTGAATGTGACACTGTTTGAGCTCAGAAGATGAACACTTCAGGATCAAACACCTCCAAGTGCCTTTTCCCACCAAATCGGATCTTCCCAAGCCATTGTACCTCGCTGAGAAATCAGAAGCATCCCCAACCCGAGGGAAATGCTGTGGCTGGACACTAATTCTTGGACAGTCAGCTTCATTTCATTGACTCAAATGCTCTGAACCTCCCAATGAAGAGGACTCTGGGGTATCATCCATCGACCCAGCTCCTGACACAGAAGGTTGCATCTGCACAACTATTCACCACTTGTGCTTCCAGTTAGCATTGACTGTTAGTCCAAATTTTATAGCGAGCCTGCTAGTTCATTGAAGACTTTTTCCTATTTTTAAGAGCAGTATTATAGCCATGAAAAGGTCTACTTCAAAAAGAGGGTAGGATTTTTTTTTAAGTTTATACATATGACACAGATGATCTTTTGACTTCATACTAAAACTTCCTGTTTAGAAGTCCATCAAGTAAACGAATAACAGTAGAAGAATGGTTCTCTTTGTTATCCAAAATTGAATTTTGTGGTTTTAGTAGGAAAAGCCTTTTTGATGATCAAAGCTGAAGCAATAAATAGTAGTGGCTTGATGCTAGATCCAAAACGTACTTATTTTTGGAACGGGAGTTAAGCGCACATTGAGCTCCTTTGGTACACACAAGAAAAGGCGGGGAAGACCACGTGCTTTGTGTATCATTTACACAGCCCTACATTTCAAGCAGACCTATTAAATAAGTCGAAATGGAGAATAAACAAACTGAAATATGGCAGATAGACAAGAGTCTAAGTGGTCTTTTTTCCTTCTGCTTCTCTGTGATGACAAGTATGGGTTAACTTCAGTGAAGCTCTTATCCTCTTTCAGCAATCATGAGCACTGGGGAAAAATAAATCACACAGCCCCAGACTCTTATTAAAAGTTACACCATTGGAAACTACACAGGGGGAGAGGAGGTATCCGATTTCAGTACAATCTCAGTCACATGTTATCATTATATTGTTCAAGTAAAAGTTAAATTCTCTCTTCTATTCCAGAAAATCCACCAGATGTCCCATAAAGGACTCTGCTGTGAGAGAAGCTAAACCATTACATCCTTAGGAACCCCGGTTTTCAAACTCAGCTGCTATAATTAATGGCAATTATCAAGTTACAATAAAAGCCACGGGCATGGGGAGCTTTACGGACGTGTATTCAGGCTGAGGAATGTTTGTTAGGAATTGCGAGCGCATTATTTATTATAGCACAACCCTGAACGATCCAACTCCTGGCTATCAATTGTTCCCCTGCTATGGACACTTGGCAGCACAACAAAAGCGAGGCGGGCCGGCGCGCCGGATTCGGCACGTGGCAGCACCGCGGCAAAACCCACCGCGGCAGGAGAACCTTAAAGAAGAAGAAGAGACAATCCCTGGAGGGAAAAGCACCACCATGCCATGACACTATGGTGCCGTGCTGTTTAAATGCTCTTTAAAGCGCTGAGCAGTCAGGATCGGTTTAAACATCCCAAAGGAGCCACTGGTCTCACCACACCGGTCATGAACTCTTGCAGGCAGAGAACAAGAAGAGAAAAGCCGTGGCTAATGGACCAGTACGCCGAGGGTCCCCTCCACCAAATCATCCCCCAGAGAAAGCAGCAAACCCCAACCACATGCTCAGCAATCCGGCAGCTTGGTACCCATGTGCCGCAAAGCCCACCCCAACCATTGGAGGAGGCACGTGGAGCTTCACCGGGATGAAGGTTTGTCTGTCTTCATCTTAGCTCTCAGACCATTAACCAGGTCATTTCTTACAGAGAAATTAAACCTGGTCCTACAGAAGGTCCCTCCTCCCCTCCACGGAGGCAGCCCCCAGCCTGGGATGGGCCACCAGAGAGGAAGGACGTGAAACGATCACTTCAGCTGGAGCCCAAAGCCAAGCAAATGAAAGCCCCAACTCTCCGCCTGCTTGCAGGTAAAACCACCCCGGGCCTTAAAGAGCTCTATTAAATGAATGAAAGGTTGCAGGGGTGGGGCAGAGCAAAAACCAGGACCTAATTAAGCAAAGCTTTGTTCGGGAGCTTCAATGGCATCGTAGCTGGGAGCTCTGCTCATGAAAGCAGGGTTTGCACTTGGGGCCAGGGCCCAACAGGTAACGCAAGCTGGACGGACTTAGCAAGAAGCACCACAAAGCAGCGTCATTTGAAACAGCCTCGCTGCTCCTGCCATGAAAATGGTGACGGCGCACAGCCCAGCCCCACACCAGCCCACGACCCCCAGACTCGGGTGAGGTTTGGGTGGCTTCCACAGGGGCCACATGTGGCCCTGAGGCCACCTCCCAGACATGCCCGCTTGTCCCACATGCTCATTCCAGCATTTTATCACAACACGCGGAGCGCAGACGTCTCTGAACAATCAACTCCGATAGCTGCTCTTCTTTTCAGACCAAGACTATAAACCAACAGCAGCAGCCCAACCCCATCTCCTGCTCTCCTGCCCCAGCCACAAGCTCCCGGGTGCATTGCCAACCTGAGAAGTCTCCGGGCGTGACGTTGGGTGAGTTTGTAGCCTCTGTTTCAGTGTAAGACAATGTGGAATCTGATAGATCTGGAAGAAGAAAAAAAAAAAAAGCACTTTTAGTCCTCCTGCGTTTGCAAGTGCTACGTGAGCACCAGTAACTCTTCAGCTTCCCATCACCATCCCAAGAGAAACTCTCTGCTGGGCCAGAAAGCACCGATTAACTTTGTACCTCTACCATGCAAATGCAAAGTCTGAATTGCTTCGACCACAAAAATAACTGCAGTTAAGTTGATCAAACAAGTAGGAACTTGGTGCTTACTGGATAAAGTTACATTAAGCCTCTAAACAACTCAGAGTTACTATACTTAATTATCACCATTAAAATTCTTGAAGCTGTTTATTCTTGCTTCCTTCCTTCCTTCCTCTTTGCTGAAGCGAAGGAAACTTTGTTTTAACAAGTTAAGAGTCTTTGTTATTCTCTCTTGCTTACACCCCTCTAATTAAGTGCTCAACTGTTTGCTCACAGATTAACTATTATTTTTCCAATCAAACAAGCCAGTGAAGCAAATTTCAATCCCTGGCTGTTGTTTTAATAAAGTCACGTGTCACTCACTATCATCTCTCCCTGCAACACAAGCAGTTTCTAAATGGAATTAACTTGGAAGGGGGAGTACAGGGAGGGACAACTCCTTTTTTTTTTTGCCTCCACACCTAAAAAACCATGACCAGTGAATTTTGCTATTCAGGGCGCTGTGGTCACTGCCCCGTGCCAGCCAGGCCGCAGCGATGAGGGAGCCGGTCCCCGCGACAGGCGTGCCCGCACGGTCTGCGTTGCAGGCAGGTCGCAGGCAGCTCCCAGACCTGGCAGGGCAGGGACTCACCTTTGGCACGGGGCAGCTCCCGCCTTCCCGCAGGGCTGGGTGAGACAGGCAGGCAAGCTGTCCCGCTCCTATCGCCCTGGCAAACCCAGCCTGTCTCCTCCCTGTCCCTGCCCCATGGGCAGCGAGAGCAGCTTGCCTCCGTCATCACCCCCGCTGTAAATCAAGAGCCACCGACTATGGGACAAAGGCAGAAATCCCACGCTCCAGACGCAGTCACAGCACCGATCCCGGCAAGAAACACAAGAGGGAGGTGGGATTCCTCTCTTCCCTCACGTATTTTTGCTTCCCATTTACTTGAGCAAGAAGTGGGTGCAGAGGAAGGACAGTCAGGGTGCAGCGATGCCAATTCAAACCACCTCCAAGCCAGCATGCACCACGGAGGACCAGGATCCAAGGCTGCTTTGTGCTGGGCTCTCCAGTGGCCTTCGCTTCATGCCCAGCTTACCCACCCAAGCCGCTTTCGTTAGCCTTTTTTTTTTTAAAAAAAAAGGCTTTTATAATTCATTAGGAAAAGTGAAACACCATTCAGAAATTACACAGCACCAAGTTTCAAAGAGTTTACGTCTCATTTTAATAAGCAGAGAAAGGGTAATAGCCGGTTCCTCCATGGCGCAGCACAGCCAGGGCTTTATGGAAATGGCATCCAGGAGCTCCCACTCCCCCTCTGCTCCGTCATCCCACAGATTACACACGCAGACAAAACATGACGTCTGGTAACCTTTCATTACACCTTCATTAAAAATAGTGCTTCATATTATTTTGGAAAATATGCATGTGTCTACACGGTAATTTGGTATGATAAACTGACATCCATTTACTTCTTAAAACCCGTCAGCTGATGCTTGCTCAGAAATAATGAGCAGCCATAAAATCCCGACTTGTTGGCTTTTGCCTGATGTGCCACGTAGAACCAACACCAGGACTGCACCATGAAAGAGCTGCCGGGAGATCAAAAGAGACAAAACACATACCCAGTGGCTTTTGCTCATCATTAGGAGACAGCCGAGAGTAGGGAGGTGGTGGAGACTCTGGAAAAACAAAACTTTATGTTAGTGCTGCGTTCGGTTTATCAACGACACCCTCGCCCTTTCTCTTTCCTGGTAGGAACTCTTCCAAGGTTACAAACACCCAATGGAAGAAAACCCACTTGGACGCAACTTGAGACCAAGAGTTTTCCAAATCTTTGAAGAAAGGAGGTTCCACCTCGATCTTTCAAAGTGAGTTTTACTACTGAAAATGCTGCGGTTCTCCTCTCCGCCCCTACCCCGCATCCTGACCTGGGCACCCATGACCCAAAGCACATGAGATGGCACACTGCTCCCAAAGAATGATGCTTTAATCTTCTGCACTGAAGACAACCATGGCTCAAACACATACACAGACTTTACAAAAGCTCCCCAAATACTACGTTACAATGATGGAAAAGGGGTGTCAGGTGACAAAAAGACACTCCTTTCTTGGCAGATGAAGCCTGACACCACAGGCCAGGCGGGCTTCAGCCAACAAGACACCGAAGTAACTCTGGTCCATTCCAACAAGCATCCCATGATCCCGTGGCAGCACTCAGCCTCTCCTGCCCCACTCCCACTGACCTCGATCCAGCAAATCTCCCAAACACACACTCGGCTTTAAGCAGTGGCACATCTGCAGTCATGCACTTGAGCGAGTCCTCAAAAGCACTTTGCTGATTTGAATTAGGTCATCTAACTGGGTCTTGCTGTGCTTCTAAGAGTCAAGACCACGCAAAAAGGTGAAGAAGGTCCTTCATCATCTTCCTGCATTGGTTAGAGGGGTTTTTCTTTTGAACGATAGGAACGATTTTCTTCTGGAGTTGTAACTTTGCTAAAACTGGCTGGGCTCTATCATGGCTCCAGGATTGAGCAGACACCGACTTTGGTGAGGAACTGTCCTGAAAGCTCAATGACATCACACTGACCCCAGACTACCACAACAAGGGTGTCTCCTCAGTTCCCTCTCAAATCCAAAAGCAAGGCGCTCGGCCCAGCAACTGCAGCTCAGCTTGGATTTTCATCGAGAACACCCCCAGCATCCCCCGTGCAAGGGCTCAGGGATGGCCCGTGGTCATTTACTGCTTCTAAGCAAAGGTTCCTGATCTCCCCCAGCCAAGCAAGCTGCCCTGTGGCAAGATGCTCTTTGCACAGGGCGCTCAGAAGTCTCAAAAAAATAATGGTGCCAATGTGGGGATGTAACCTGTGCCATGCACAGCAGGCTGGTCCCAGGCTAGAGCCGGACCTGCTGCCACAGGGGACTTGGGCGAAACCTCGAGGTGATTTCACACCCCTCAGCTACGTCAGCCCACAGAAAAGTGGATGACAAACGTGAACACGGACGGTCTCTGCGAGGAGCCATGCAAACAGTTGTAGGAAAGGACATCAAGGCCTTTCCCCAGCTCCCGCCGCCATCCCCAGCGCCCGGACGGGTCGGGTGGGGCCCTGGCACAACCACCCGCTATCAAAATGATAAGGAGCCACTCGATAAAAGCTCTGCTCTCTCCTACTCCCCGCACAGGGCTTGGAACCATACACCGCTGGGAAAACAACTACCGCTGCAGGAAAGCGAGTTGGAAACTTTGCCCGGTTCTAAAAGAAGTGCACATTTACTCCAAGTGTAGCAAAAAAAGCTGCTTACAGCCTCTAGTATTCTTCGGGAGAAGCACGCCCAGCATAGAAGTTTCTTTCAAAGAAGTGATGCAAAGCGAGGCAGGATCCCCGGATTGCAAAATAAATTTAAAAAAATCAAAGCTCTTGCCAAGAAAGGGACCGTCAGCAGGAGGTTGGTGTCCTCCAGGATCCCTCTGCCCACGGTAAAAATTAAGAAATCCCCGAGAAACGCTTGAGCTCCAGCTCCCCCCCCCCCCCCCCC